CCTTACACATTATACCTGTGATTTGTGTAAGATTAAAGGTTATATGCTACCTTACACATTATACCTGTGATCTGTGTTAGAGTTAAGGTTATATGCTACCTTACACAATATACCTGTGATCTGTGTTAGAGTTAAGGTTATATGCTACCTTACACATTATACCTGCGACTGTGTAAGATTAAAGTTATATGCTGTGATTTGTGTAAGATTAAAGGTTATATGGTACCTTACACATTATACCTGTGAGCTGTGTAAGAGTTAAGGTTATATGCTACCTTACACATTATACCTGTGATCTGTGTAAGAGTTAAGGTTATATGGTACCTTACACAATATACCTGTGATCTGTGTAAGAGTTAAGGTTATATGCTACCTTACACAATATACCTGTGAGCTGTGTAAGAGTTAAGGTTATATGCTACCTTACACATTATACCTGTGATTTGTGTTAGAGTTAAGGTTATATGCTACCTTACACATTATACCTGTGATCTGTGTAAGAGTTAAGGTTATATGCTACCTTACACATTATACCTGTGATCTGTGTAAGAGTTAAGGTTATATGCTACCTTACACATTATACCTGTGATCTGTGTAAGATTAAAGGTTATATGCTAAAGGTTATATGCTACCTTACACATTATACCTGTGATCTGTGTAAGAGTTAAGGTTATATGCTACTTTTCATATCATATCTGTGATCTACACATTACAGCTGTGATTTAATGTCACTCAACATGTTCTCCAGTCATTAGTTACATTGTGAAAAGTGTCTAATTGTAACAGAGTATTGCTCAGATTGGAACCTGTGACTGTAAAACTTACATTCAACCCACCATGCTTAAGAGAAGTTCCTACTGTAGCTGAGCAGTATATAGTACATGTTGCTAGTATCTACTAGCATTATGATAAACAGGATATACTGAATGGAATTCTTCATGACCAAAACATCCATTTTTCAGAAGTTAACTTTCTCAAAACTCAGGAAGATCTGGCCCCACTTGTATAAAACATCTCAACTTGAGATTTCCTCAAGTCGAGATTTTCCTAAGCTGATATCTCCTCAAAAACGGCTTGTATAAAATTTTCTCAAGGAACAGGAGGAAGGCATCAGCTAGGATGTCCTGAAATTCCTTGCAGAATTTTCATACAAGATATTTTCAAGGAGATATTAGCTGAGGAAAATCTGGGCTTGAGGAAATCTGAAATTGAGATATTTTATACAAGTGGGGCCAGAACTCTGTCCTTCACAGAGAAAAAAAAGCAATATCTCGTAGAGAAAAATGAACTAATAAGACCAGAGAGTCTATATAATGTATAGTGTATATGTCACAATGCCATAATAATGTGGGTTGAAGTACACCTGTACCTCTAAAAATTGGCAGCGAATTATTTGCACGGTATACAACAATCAGTAGTCCTTTTTGACCTGAAATGTTTGGTCCCAAAACAAAGGAAGCTCAGAAGTGCTTGATACTATCTCTTCACAATTATTCAGAAAATGTTTGTATATTCTTGGCAGTTCAGGATGAAGTAATAATGTAAACATGAGGGTATATGACACAGTTTAAAATTTACTATATGTATTCTATACCATATAACATACACTAGCTTTTCATCAATACTTGAAAGCTTATAGGAGATAGATGTTCAGGATACAACACAGGTACTTGTGTAGGTAAGTCATCTATTGACTATGATAGGAGATTGGAGTTTAGAATACAACACTTGGACTTGTATTTGGGATCGGTTATCAAAGTGCCCAGATTAATACTGGGGATTGTTACAGTGCTCCGTTTTCTTCGCTTCCTTTGTCATTAATAACACTACTCCTATCATTACATACCAGATGAATAATTCTCAAAGCTCCAGGCAATGCGTATGAAAAGTGAAACTAGGATTATATACCAGCTTATATTAAGTTTCATTTAATCGCAAATCGAAATTGTTTTGTTATCAAAAATGGAAACTGTACGGGAAAAGACTTATGTGTATAATTCGTCTTCTTTACGAATATTTTTCTGTGTCTGATTTGACTTACCTCTTTCAGTACAGCCGAGCTGTATGTACAGCGTGTAACGTGTCCATTATTGTCATCTACTACGTCATGATTTCGTTTTAGGTAAAAATCTCCTCTCTTATTGAGCTCACAGGACCCTCCCTCTCACAGCAATCTTTGATGAATCACTTCCAACTTTGATATCAGCACTGTATCCAGTTGACTATCTGTCTGTTATCCTTGCTCCCTTTGATAACGACTATCACTCACGTCTGATGTTGCTGGATGAAGACCCTGCTGGGTGTGTTTTTCGTTCACAACCCAAGTGGTTTGGTACTGAGTAAAATACTTTTCTGCGAGTATCTTTTTTATTTGAGTAACCGTGAAAAGTGAACGCCGGCAAATGGCAAGATTTGCTTTATTCGTCACTCTTTTACATAAACACAAATTTGCAGCTTAAATCTGATATTGTAAGTATGATTTTAAAATACATGTATTTTATTTGACAGCGAAATCAACATCCCCAAAATCCAAAAGGCTTTGCATTTTTTATATCTTTCCCTTTTGATGTTCTTTCATTTGAAGCAAAGCTTTCGTAGATGATATGACGTTTTACGTTATTTGTATACATGCGCAGGGTCTTGACACGAATTCCCACCCCATATATATGTATGGTAGCTGTGCCAAGTCCCTGTGTATATGGGTATGTTAATTTCTGTTGGATAGAAGGGAGCACGACATATTGTCAGTGATAACGTAACCGAAATTATAAAAATAGAGAGAATAATCCTTGTTCCTTGGAAACAGTGACAACACAGACTTGGGTATCTATCTCAGTGATTTAGACATCTGTCTCACGAATTTGATATATATTTAACGTAGTCATCTATCTATCTATCTCACATATAAACTATTTATTACAAGGACCTAGATATCTTTCTCACGGATTTGATATATATCTCGCGGTATCTAGTTCACGGGCTTTGATATCTAGTTCAAGGGCTTCGGTATCTATTTCACGGACTTTGGTATCTAGTTCCCGGATTTTGATATAAAGTTCACGGGCTTCGGTATCTAGTTCACGGGCTTTGGTATCTAGTTCCCGGATTTTGATATAAAGTTCACGGGCTTGAGTATCTAGTTCAAGGGCTTGGATATCTATTTCAAGGGCTTGGATATCTATTTCACGGGCTTGGATATCTAGTTCAAGGGCTTGGGTATTTAGTTCAAGGGCTTGGATATCTATTTCACCGGCTTGGATATCTATTTCACGGGCTTGGATATCTAGTTCAAGGGCTTGGGTATTTAGTTCACGGGCTTCGGTATCTAGTTCACGGGCTTTGGTATCTAGTTCCCGGATTTTGATACAAAGTTCACGGGCTTGATTATCTAGTTCAAGGGCTTGGATATCTATTTCAAGGGCTTGGATATCTATTTCACGGGCTTGGATATCTAGTTCAAGGGCTTGGGTATTTAGTTCAAGGGCTTGGATATCTATTTCACCGGCTTGGATATCTATTTCACGGGCTTGGATATCTAGTTCAAGGGCTTGGGTATTTAGTTCACGGGCTTCGGTATCTAGTTCACGGGCTTTGGTATCTAGGTTCCGGATTTTGATATAAAGTTCACGGGCTTGAGTATCTAGTTCAAGGGATTTGATATCTATTTCACGGGCTTGGATATCTAGTTCAAGGGCTTGGATAACTATTTCAAGGGCTTGGATATCTATTTCATGGGCTTGGGTATCTAGTTCACTTACTTTGGTGTCTAGTTCACGGCTTGGGTATCTAGTTCACGGCCTTTGGTGTCTAATTCAGGGTTTTTGGTATCTAGTTCACGGGATTGGGTATCTAGTTCACGGATATGGATATTTATTTCACGGATTTTGATATCCTTTTCACGTTTTGTGGTATCTATCTTCCGGATTTGAATGTCTATTTCACGGACCTACGTATCTTCATTGTATCTGGTGGACATAGACACCTATCTCACTGGCTTAGATGTCTAATTGTATCGAACGGACTTAAATATCTATCTCAAGACTACAACATCTATCTCAAGGGCATATATATCTAAGTGTAACTTACAGACTTCGAGTTAAACAGCGGTTTGTAAAAAGTTTGATAATTTCAATTACCTATTGATGGATTTTCCATTTCTGGATAGTAATATTCTTAAATCCCCAACCTCTGACGCTTACATTTCGCAGTCGATTCGATTTTCATTTCAGTAATAAGTACCATGACTTTAGTATGCAAATACAGTACCTACACCCATCTTTGTATCCCAACAACAAAAGATTCAAATAATCCCGCCCTCCCTACGATCCATGAGCCATCACGGCAGGGACATAGAGTGGTCTCCCTTCCTTTTACCTTTATGGCTGCCGACGAGTGCGGGGGGTTTTTGAGCTGAATGCTTTCTTTACTCCTTCCCGTCGTACTGCTATAATTGTCTGAGTATAGTGTAACTCCCTTAGTAGTTTGTAAACCCATTTCCCAACTTATTTTTTTAAAATAGGTATTGACATTTGTTTATTTTGACCGTTTTTCCGGCCATGTTTTCCTCCACGTGTTCGAGTGCGTGAACACGTGTCTCGTTTTTCGGATTTTCGTGATGTTGTAATTTGTTATCTTGCTGCTTCGTCGGCCGTTTTGTACGACCATTCCTTTTGCAGTCTTGCTGCGTACGATAGGCTTTGTACTCTCGTTTGTAGTTTTTTGATTGTTAGAAAACTTCGTTGCCTTGTTTTTCCATTGTTACGATTTTTTATTGTTTCGACGATGGATAGTGCAGGGTTACGTCGGGGATCAGCACATGGGTGCTCCCATTTCTACGGAGAACGGGACCGTCATGATGCCTGTCCCCTTTGTCGACCTTGCAGCCAGACTTCGCCGTGTGAACTTTGTTTGCACACAGTGTCTGCTGCCAAGGCTCGCATGCCTGTCCGGCGAACTTTTCGCCGGAACAGGGATTCGTCCTTTTCTTCCGCTAGGGAAGTATGCTTTCCAAGTCCTTCGCCTCCGGTTCTAAACCGGGAAGCGTTCCTGCAGGAGGTGTTCTCGTCCCGTCGAGCTCGCATTTCACTAATCCTAGGGTCAGTGCGGGGCCTGTCTTCCCGCCCTCACCGGTTGCTGGTTTTGGTCAGTACCGGTCCAGCCCAGAGATCCCTGTGCAGTGGTACCCAGTAGGTTTCCACCAAGGGGTTGGGTTTACAGGCCAGGCGTCCGGTTTCCGGTCACCCTTTCCCCCGGGCTCTGGGTATACGGGTTGCTGCGGGCATTCAACCTTGGGTCGCAAAGGCCAGCCTGAGGATGGTTCTGGTTACCAGAAGTATCCCAGCAGTTACGGGCCTAGCCCGTACATGTCTGGGTGTCCACCTGGTGGGTGTGGTGGTACATCCGTGTCTTTTGGACAGGGTGGCAAGCCCCAAACTCAGGCGGGCCATGTTGGCCAGCTCTGGGGTCACTCCCAGCCCGCGGGACTATTCCCATTCCCTCAGGGGTTTGGGTTGTACCCTATGGGTTTTCCGTCGTGGAATCCCTGGGGGTTGGTCTCCCTCTAGGAGACGGTGAAGCAGTTCGGAGTCTCCCCAACATTCTGTTATTTCGGGGGCCTTGTCGGCCGGTCATAAGAAGGTTTGCCGGACCTTTAGAACTTCCGCCTCCCGCGCGGACTCGTTGATGTCCATGTCCCAGGAGTCGACTTCGGGTCTTAGACCCAAGCATACAGCCATGGCGGTTAGGCGCTTGGCTGTGCTGGATGGGTTGCCTGGCTTTTAGTCACCACTACGGTAAGACGAATTCGCATACTTAAGTTTTTTTTCATATAAAACCAATTTTCATGAGGTAATGCTTACAATAACTTTATGGAGTCCCATCCTATCCTCCCCTCTTCATTATCTGCCTGGCTGTCCCTCTGTGGGGTGCTCCATAAAGGTTATTAGAGGAAGTGAGATCACTCTATGACGGATGTGTCTAATGCTCGTTAATTTTCTGTTGGTTCCGTTGTTTTGTACATTGTTCCCATTGCAAAGCATTACATACTCGAATTGACAACAATTCAATGTCGGGTGTCGTCGATGAAGCAGAAAACGTTTCCCCTTTCGCAACACATGGCTTTATTCTCCTTGTACCCTTCCAGGAGTCTCTGAGTAAATATTTCATTTGTTCATATTTTGGGTTTGTGTTATGATCATGCAAATTTCAATATCAGCGAATGCATTAGCGATTTGCAGATTACATATGTACAAGATGAATTTACCCCTTCTGAAACACCTGGTCTTATCCTCCTTATTTTTTCACAGTTTTCGTGTACATTTTTCATTCGTCATATTTCGTCCTAGTCTCTTCGACCTCGTTTGAATTACGATGTTGTTGATATAAGTTTTTACCAACTGTGTCATGAATCATTGATTGTTAGATTCTTTGCTTATTGATTGATTGAATGACCAATTGATTGATTTGATCGATTGATTGATTTGGTTGATCGATAGATCGATTGATCGTTTTTTGACTACTGATCGATTGATTGATTAATTTATTTCAGTGTGTGGAATTTTTGTGTTTGCATACATATATTTACATGTAATTGTTTTTAATCTGTGATTATGAAATGAAAATATAATGATGGCTATTTTTTTTATTTACGTTTATCAATAAAGTTTGACAAAGACGAAGAAAACTACGATAAAATCTATCCTATATTATTGTTCAGCTGATGTTGGCTATGGAGAGTCAAGTAAGACAGATTTACCTCCCTTATATTTATATGTTTGTATTATTACATCAATAATGCTCGTTTTGATTATAGAAATATTAAAGGAAATTGAAAAATGGAAACAAATTCACAACTGAACGCATAAAAATGTTTTGTTTCGTCGGCGACAAAATACATACATTGTTTTCGTCGTTAAAGCAAATATATTAACATTGTTTAGATAAACATAGTTGCAGATTAATGTTTGCCGTATACCTCGATCAATATCATAACATTGGAAACATAACAATAACATAATGACACGATTATAAATACGTATTGGAAAAGGTACTAAATGACACGATTATAAATACGTATTGGAAAATGTACTACATGATACGATTATAAATACGTATTGGAAAATGTACAAAATGATACGATTATAAATACGTATTGGAAAATGTACTACATGATACGGTTATAAATACGTATTGGAAAATTTACAAAATGATACGATTATAAATACGTATTGGAAAATGTACTAAATGACACGATTATAAATACGTATTGGAAAATGTACTAAATGACACGATTATAAATACGTATTGGAAAATGTACTAAATGACACGATTATAAATACGTATTGGAAAATGTACTAAATGACACGATTATAAATACGTATTGGAAAATGTATTAAATGATACGATTATAAATACGTATTGGAAAATGTACTACATGATACGATTATAAATACGTATTGGAAAATGTACTACATGATACGATTATAGATACGTATTGGAAAATGTACTAAATGACACGATTATAAATACGTATTGGAAAATGTACACAATGATACGATAATAAATACGTATTGGAAAATGTACTACATGATACGATAATAAATACGTATTGGAAAATGTACTACATGATACGATTATAAATACGTATTGGAAAATGTACACAATGACACGATTATAAATACGTATTGGAAAATGTACTAAATGACACAATTATAAACACGTATTGGAAAATGTACTACATGATACGATTATAAATACGTATTGGAAAATGTACTACATGATACGATTATAAATACGTATTGGAAAAGGTACTAAATGACACGATTATAAATACGTATTGGAAAATGTACTACATGATACGATTATAAATACGTATTGGAAAATGTACTACATGATACGATTATAAATACGTATTGGAAAATGTACTACATGATACGATTATAAATACGTATTGGAAAATACTACATGATACGATTATAAATACGTATTGGAAAATGTACAAAATGATACGATTATAAATACGTATTGGAAAATGTACTACATGATACGGTTATAAATACGTATTGGAAAATTTACAAAATGATACGATTATAAATACGTATTGGAAAATGTACTAAATGACACGATTATAAATACGTATTGGAAAATGTACTAAATGACACGTTTATAAATACGTATTGGAAAATGTACTAAATGACACGATTATAAATACGTATTGGAAAATGTACTAAACGTATTGGAAAATGTACTAAATGACATTATAAATACGTATTGGAAAATGTATTAAATGATTATAAATACGTATTGGAAAATGTACTACATGATACGATTATAAATACGTATTGGAAAATGTACTACATGACACGATTATAAATACGTATTGGAAAATTGAATTGGAAATGTACTAAATGACACGATTATAAAATGTACTAAATGACGATTATAAATACGTATTGGAAAATGTACTACATGATACGATTATAAATACGTATTGGAAAATGTACTAAATGACACGATTATAAACACGTATAGGAAAATGTACAAAATGATACGATTATAAACACGTATTGGAAAATGTACTAAATGATACGATTATAAATACGTATTGGAAAATGTACTAAATGATACGATTATAAATACGTATTGGAAAATGTACTAAATGACACGATTATAAACACGTATTGGAAAATGTACTACATGACACGATTATAAATACGCATTGGAAAATGTACTACATGATACGATTATAAATACGTATTGGAAAATGTACACAATGACACGATTATAAATACGTATTGGAAAATGTACTAAATGACACGATTATAAACACGTATAGGAAAATGTACAAAATGATACGATTATAAATACGTATTGGAAAATGTACACAATGACACGATTATAAATACGTATTGGAAAATGTACAAATGATACGATTATAAATATAGAATTTATGGTTGTGTTAGGTTTTGGTGAGACAGTACTAGATAAGCTGGGCTTCACAGTACCGCGATGGGATTGAGTTTCTTTATTTAGAGTTACCTCCCATTGAAGAATGTTGAGATTGCAATTGTGATCATTTTAATATATATATATATTTTTTTTATCTATTTCAAATTCTCAAATTTTGAACTGCTGTAAAATTCACAACGAGTATTTTTCATTTGTAAAAGAAATGTTTTGGCTTCGATGTTTACAAAGGGATTACTATCTGCAGTTGCACTTGTATCTGTATTATCGCGTATTTTAAGGTACTTAAACAAGTTCACTAAAATGAAATCTTCCTCTATACCCTGTCGGTTTTATGGCCAGGATTGAATTCTTTAAGCGTAAGGCGTTACTAATGAAGCTATGAGGACGACGTTAATTGTCAACGCCTTCTGAATATGCACAGTTTAAAACATGCATTGTACGGGGAACGTACAATATGAGTTTAATTCATCGTGAAGGAAAGATAATCAAAGAGACGGTTAACAATTATATCTATATATAAATTAAAGAAATGTTTTCACATTTTTCTAAGAACCATTGAAAATATTTTAAAACGTTTAATTTTGTCGCGTTCTACAAGAACTTGTGGCTGGATCAATTCTTTATCTTTGTTGGCGTAGCTTGCACAGAAAAGGGGCTGATTGAACGAGACTACATACATGTCTATCAGCTCTTGCCGCCATTTTGTTACTTCCTCAAACGCTGTTGTAAAGAATGATTTCATTGGTCAATAATTGATGACATGGTTCTAACGAAATGTCACTGCACTAGATTTCCAACGAGGTATGTAATGAAATGAGATAATTGATTTTACTATAGCTGGTGTTAGAATATCTCTTTTCTGGTTAAAGAAATGCGAACAGTTCAATTTCAAGTTCAAGTTAATTTTATTCAGAATTTAAGACATACAGACAAAGAGTACATACTACGGAGTAATATTCATATTGTTTTAATAGTGAAACATATCGATCAATAGATCCTGTGTTTAAACATTTATATGTATGTACAATGTTGATAGATTTTATATTGTTTTGTTTTCCTAGTAATTGAAATATGTGTCTTATATTTGAGATATATGCAAATATCTCAGTGCGGTAATAATCGGTCCCAAAATACAGTACCAAAATATCTAGGTGCGGTAATAATCAGTCCCAAAATACAGTATCAAATATCTCAGTGCGGTAATAATCAGTCCCAAAATACAGTACCAAAATATCTAGGTGCGGTAATAATCAGTCCCAAAATACAGTACCAAAATATCTAGGTGCGGTAAAATATCTCAGTACAGTACAAAATACAGTATCAAATATCTCAGTGCGGTAATAATCAGTCCCAAAATACAGTACCAAAATATCTAGGTGCGGTAATAATCAGTCCCGGTAAATACAAAATACAGTATCAAATATCTCAGTGCGGTAATAATCAGTCCCAAAATACAGTACCAAAATATCTAGGTGCGGAAATAATCAGTCCCAAAATACAGTATCAAATATCTCAGTGCGGTAATAATCGGTCCCAAAATACAGTACCAAAATATCTAGGTGCGGTAATAATCAGTCCCAAAATACAGTACCAAAAT